TAATAATAAAATAAAAAATATATTTTTATATATTTGTAAAATTTTAGAATATTTCCAAAAGAGTTTTCTGTCATAAAAAAAAAGATTAATTAGCTCGTTTTCTGAAAGAAAAATGAGAGTAAAGAAAGAAGTTTAACGTGTAGAGAGTGAGAGCCAGATACAATATATTACAACTTTGTAAAGTAAATAATAATTTAAAATTTTGTCTTGAGATAAACAAAATTGTCTTTGGGTGTTTTCATCAAAAACTAATTAAAAGTATCTGAAAAATCTTCTACAGAAATTTTTTTCTATCAAGTTTCACTTATAATTTTTCTTAAACATTATTAGAACTCAACATATCTTAATAAAATAACTGTGAAAATCATAAAATATTATAAATTATTAATTAAATTATAAAGTTTTTGATAAAATTAAAGACCCCCCAATCAGGAAGGAGGGAGGGAAAAAATTAAAATAAAATAAAATAACAGGTAATTGAAATCAATAATAATGATTAGAAGTAAGAAAACTTTGTTATCTGATTTTGTTTGAAGGTCAATGTGAGTTGTTAGACAGTTTAACATGTTTTTAATTTGCCTTCTCACCACATCTACAAGATAAGTGGTTCTGTGCATCTCCATTAAACTGTCACAGATGCCAACGGCAATGTCTCAGACTAGAATATAACACGACACATATTCGGTTTAATAAGATACCCCAAGGGATATCTATGCTTGCAAGTTATTCATCCTCTGTTATTTAACACGATGGGAATATCGACAAAATTACTGTTGAGGGATTTAACTTCTTTTATGAAACTTGGAAACCATTTTGCGGTCGCTTCTTTGAGAATATTTTACGAGGATAAAACGCTATTATAATTTTAGGATCTAAACAAATTTAATGAAATTTTTAATGAATAAATTATATATTAGTTAAGTGTTTTAATATTTAAAATAAATAAATGTTTTTACAGAAATACACGTCTCGCCTCAACCTGTAAAAGAACCATCAACTGCCAAAATACAAAGTCTAGATGGTAAGATTCTTCTAATTTTTTTTTAAATTAAAAAAAATCTTATTTTATATAAATACAATTAATAAACAGTGACGTAAAATTAATTTTAAAAATTAAACATTTTTTTCCTTTTTAAATAAATGTTTTAAATGTTAATTTGATTTATTTTTGTTCGTTTTTAAATGATGTTTACATTCTGCAGTTTAAATTTTAATCTGTGTAAACAGAATTTTTTAAACTTTAATAACAAATTAATTAACGGTTAAAATATTTTTATTTAGATGTATTAGTTTTGTTTATTTTTGGACGGTTTTATAATTATGGAAGGATTATAAAATTATTGCTTAAAAAGTTAATTAATAACAATTTATCTTGATAAATGTAAATATTTTTCAACGATAAATTTAAAAACAAAGTGTATATAAGCAATAAAAAAATTAAATTAATTATATAAAAAAGTTTTAAATTATTTTACAAAATTATTTAAAACTCTCTGTAAAAATTAGCATTGACAATTAGTTTAATTTACTTATTTTTGCATTTTTATATAAATTATTTTAAATAATGATAAACTAAATAACTTTAATAATATAAAAAATAATATCATTTAAAATTTAACATTGTGCAAATTATAAAATATTATGCAAAATTAATTTAAAATTTTTAATATTTTTCGATGCATTTATTTAGAACAGTGTGTTTAATTTAATATATTTACGTAAATAAAATCATTAATTTTAATCATTTATAATTAAAAAGTCTGATAATATAACTATCACATAGTATATGTCATTTGTTTTCATGGTGTAATACTAAAAAAACACAAAATTGTGTAACATTACTTCTTAGTTATGTTATTTTTTTAGTGTTATACTACGAAAATTTAGTTAAATTTTCATATTTATTCATTTGTATTTATGTATGTGTTCATGTATTATGAGTGCGTGTTTATATATGTATGTACAATATAATATAGGCCTATACTTCGTGTATAATTAATTACTTTAATTGTTCTTGCAAATTTCTATAAAATTGCTATTAGTTCGATTTGAAAGATTAACAGTCAAATTGTTAATTACTTATTTAAAAATTTTAATTTATATGGTTATTTTAAAACGTTTTAATCTATAGATTTTTATTTTATATTGTGTTATAAGGGCTGCAGAGAAAGGGAAGTTGGAGTTTTTCCCCTGGTCTAAAGAAAAACTTGGGACCGTAGTGGCCCCTAATTTCTTAGGGCGTAGTGGTCTCTACGCCCATAAGTTAACGTTAGTTTTACTATCAAAAATTACATTCAAACTGATATTAATTAATATAAAATCATTCTATGTATTTTATTTATTTAAAAAAAAAACAAAGGGATCTACTAAGGGATTAATAATGTTTCTCTATCCATATTGAGAGGGCTTCATACCAAGATTTTGAGGTGTGTCACACTCTGTGTGTGACAATTTTTTTTAAATGTGTATACCTAATAGCGATGAAAAATTAAATATTTTATAATAAAATTTGACAGAAATTTATAATGTAATTAGTATTAAAAATATTGAATAGTTTCATATTGTTCTAGCCTTTAAATATTTACTTATATTATTTTTTTTAAATATATATTAATCATTAACAACATCAAGGTAATTTGTTATAATATTATACGAAATTCTTTAACAGTATGAAAATAAACAAAAGATATCGAATAATAATGTAAAAATTTCTAATGTACAATGTAATAAGTCAATTAACATTTTTACAACAAGTCAATGAGAATAAATTGTTTTCTCTTTACTTTATTTTTTTTTCCTTAGTTTCTTGATTTAATTAACTTTATAATTATTCTAATTATTCTCTTAGACCAACAAAAAAAAAACAAAGAAGAAAAACAAGAATTTCCTATAATATTTGAATTAATTTTCTTAAATTTATTTCTTCAATTCGTTTGCATATTTTAAAATTCAAAGATTTTTTTAATTAAATCTCTGAAAAATTCGTAAACTGAGCTACAGTTATTATGAAAGTAGGAATTATGTTTTGACATATGCTTAAGTAGCGACTTAGATTATCAATTCAGTTTTTGTCGAAAAATTGCTATTTTAATTTTCTAGAAAGATAAATAAGTGAAATTTGAAACATTTAAATAAATAATCAAGAGACAACCCCTTGAACTCATAAATTTTAAAAGTTTAATATTATTAAAGTTAAGATTGTTGCAAGTGTTATAAAAGAGGATACGAACAAATGAAGAGAAATTGATTTAAAGAAATAAAAAAAAAATTACATACATTCGATGAAAGTTGAGTAAATTGATGTAAAGTCACTAAAGTAAACGAATATAAATAAGATAATATTTAATATTCCCTATGAAAGTTTCAATAATGATGTAGAAAAATACGTTTTTTAAAACGAAAATCTTCAATTAGAAGGAAGAAAAAATTAAGCTTTAAATTTCTAAGAGAAATTTAAATAATAAGTAATTTGATAATATTGAAAAAAATAAAAATAATAATAATAACAACAAATGAACATTTATATTTTCAAAAATAAAAATATATTATTTTATTGTAAGTCGTTTCATTAAAAGTATATCTTAGTTATTTATTGTTTAAGTTAAAATTCTTTTTGTTTCGTGTCTTCTTATTCATATAAATAATTAATTTTTAATTAAATAAATGTAGTTTTTAAACCTGTAATTTCAAAAAATATAAACTTTTTTTATATCTAGAATTTAAATATTTTAACATTTAATATGAATACTGTAGCAAAGTTTCTCAATAATAGGTTAAAATTTCATATCAAATGTATTTGCTACGGTAATTTTTGAATTTAATTTTATAAATAAATAAATAAATCTACCTTTACACCATAATTTTAAAGAATTTCAATTTTTTTCTATGTATAAAATTTAGATAATTAAATATTTAATGCACAGAATTCTTTCTGAAGTAAGTTTATAACATTTTAATATTTTATATGAAATGCATTTAAGGTGTTTTACAACTTTAAATAATGTCTAAAATATCTAATTATACATTTATTATATATTACTATAATTATACGTTTATAGGAACTCTATGATTAAGTGAATAGACATTAAAAGTTGAGAAATTTTAATTAACATGCCGAAAAATAAATTAAATAATGGAATATCGAAGATATTTCTGTGAAAATTATTAAATAATTTATAGCTTATACTGTAGATAATTTAAATTAAAAGTAAATAGTTTTCATTATAGGATATTCATTATGAGATGCTTTAGGTTTTCACCTGAAGCAACCGATTATTGAACTTCTATAACAAGATATTTATTACTAGAAAATGTTTATTATAAATTATTTTCGTAAATATTAAAATACAATGAAGCTCTTAGCTTTTATATTCTACTAATTTAAGTATTTGGATCATTTATAATTAAATCTTTCGTGTTAATTTATGATAAGATCAAGAAGTTCATTGAGTTCATTAAAATGATTTATATTATTTATTCGATAATAATATATAAGCTAAATTATTTCGAAATTAATTAAAATTAATACTTATATACATTAAAATTTTGTGTAATTTAAATATAAAGTGAAGTTTTATGTACAGTTTATGTTATATATAATGTAATGCTTACGAATTGACTGTTGTATAAGATGATTATCATGCATGTAAACCACAATTATCAAGGAATTCATCCATGTTATAATGTGTATAGATCATTGTAAGCTATTCCGAGAGCTCATTTATATACGCATGATTTACTTTAACACTATAAATATCATTAAAACTGTTATAGAGTTCGGATAATATTGTTACATTACGTGTAAAATGACTTCTATCATGTAATATAAACAACAAATTTCACTATAAATATAACATATGTTTCGAGTTTATCTTGAGAAATTTTTAAAATTTTAATTTAATTTATGTAATTAATATCGGCTTTACTAATAAAAAACATTATAAAATATTTTAAAAATGTATAAAAGCATACATATAAAAAGCAAAAATTATTGTGACATCGTCACAATAATTTTTGGCATCGTCACAATAATTAATAATTAATAATTGCCGGGCTATAATTTTTAATTATTTTAAATTTATTTAATTTAAAATATACGCTCTCGATCGCGAACTCTTGCCCCTGTACATCATACTTTTCCTAGTAACAGCAGAGTCATGCCTGTCATCTATGTAACTCTGTTCTGGGGGAAAATGTTTTAATTGAGATAACGTGATTTTCGGTTTAGCCCAGAAGTTTTTATAAAATTAATCGAGGCCTTCTTCCCCTAAGCTTTCTATATCTAGTTTCTGCTTTCATCTATCTAACGCTATTCTTCAGATTAAGGAAGGCCAGACAGACGGACGACAGTGAGAATTTTGAAATTTTATATGTTATCTTAAAACCTGGTTTTGGTTTAAAGATTCTAATGAAAATTAAAGTAGAAGTAATTTTCGTAAAGTAAAAAATATATATGAAAATAGTTTCTAAAATAATTTCAATCATTTATATTTACTTGAAATTCCTGTTTATAATACTTCGCATCATAATAAATTGTTAAAATTCTTGTAAAATTTATTAAATCATTAAAGATGTTATAAAAGCGTGTAAATAGCGAGCAAATTATTCTGTTAACTGGTCTCATTTATAAGGTAATAACTACAGTTCAGTAACAATTGCGTTTTAGACTTCAGAAGTAATCACGATAGCGCTATTGTCGCCTCTAATAGCAAATTTAGAACTAGAAGAAGGAATTTATATTATAAGATGTGTTTATTCTAAATGATTTTTGTACTAGATACAAAGTATATATTGAAAAAAAATCCAAATTTTAGCTAGATTTTGATTTCTTGAGTCTATTTTCCTTCCTTATTATAAGGAAGAAAATTTGAATTTCTCATTACACTGGTAGAATATAGAACTATGTAGAAAATATAATTCGCATGGCTTGTCTCATTTATTCCCTAATGGTTAAGCTTTATAACCAGAATAAATTTAATTGACTGTATTTATTTAATTTGCAAATACAGTTTTACTTTTCTT